CCGGAGGGGCGGACGCGTCCAAGTCATGATCCCGAGGGGTATGCCTTAGGCAAATCACCCGAGAAGGTGATTAAAATAAGAACACCGAATTCACATAACAAGAAAAACAACTTCATTAAACGTTTCGCCTCCCATGCGGGAGGCATCATCATCATCGTTTAATGAAGTTGCTTTTCTTGTTATGTGAAGTCGGTGTTCTTATTTTAATCATGACATCTCCCGGCTTTTGGACTATTTTTGCATTCACCCGAGAAGGGCGAGGGAAAGCCGTCCACAAGGGAATACGGCTTCGCCCTCGCATCCGGGACGCGCCCCGACCTGGCGACGTCCCACGGCCTGCATGGACTAGGCCTAGATAGGGATGCGGGGAACACGTGGTTCCCACAATACATATCTATAATATATATAGTGTTCACACTTCTGTGTTTGCGATGCTGTAATCATTTGTGAGCGCATCGACGTGTTTGCAGTATTCGATTTTTTTTTTTATCAGCGCCTTCGCGACAGTTAGGACAAGTTAATATTTTTTTTTCTGTGTGATATGTCGTAGGGTTTTAATTTCGCTTTGATTTTTGTCATTTTAGTAGAGAAGGTATATTCCCCTAACAACGACTCCGACTCAGTCCTCTCACGGGAGTGAGTCCGTCTACCAAGGCTCTAATCTATCGCCCGGTCAGCGGCTTTATCAAAATTAAATTTGTTTTTATAGGAATTGGGTCTTCACGTGGTTTAATCCCCTGGAACCTGGAACACTTTGCAAAATTCGAGAAAGACGCAATCAACATAAGATCCATGGTCAAGGATGGAGAAAAGATCATTAGTCAAAGTAAGAAGTTTTGTTTCGCAAGACAGCGATTTCAGAAAACCACGTTGTGAGGGTGAAAAAAAAAGAATTTAAATCTAAGAAACTAACTGGTTTAGAATAAATTATGCGTTTTAAACATTTAGCGGGCGTGCTGGTTAAGGAAATCGGTCGATAATTAAGAGCGATTCGTTTTGTTACCAGATTTATCAAGCGGAACTACCTTTTATATTTTTCAATCGTTTGGTAAATTGCGAAGGTCCAGTGATCAAAACGTTTTAAAAGAAGAACTGAAATGTAACTTTTTGTACTTGAAAAAAATTTAGAGCCTATTTTATCAGCACCATACAAGGAGGAGACTTTTAGCTAGATTATAGGTTCGTTTAATAATCCGGCATAATCAAGAACAAGCGGATTCATGGGAAGGAATTTTCAAAGAGGATAAGTGGGGAACTGAGATTCTACATCACTAGGAAATGCTTTCGCAAAGATATCATTTATTACAGATGCACAGTTATCTATGGAATATCTGCACCGTTATCCCCTGTCAGCGAGAGGACAGTATTTTTGGGTCCGTTCACAATACTCAAAAATTGCTTAGTGCTACGGGCTAACATAAAAGGTAAGATTACAGTAAAAAGAAATGTTTTGGCTTCTTTTACAGTTCTTTGTTTAAGTATTCGCAACTTTTTGTTAGCATCCCAACGAGCAGCGAGGGCAGATGACTTCGCAGCGCGGAAAGACACGTTTCTTCTTAGAAAGACGTTTCAGTGCGACATAAAAGCAAGGAGATTGAGGTTTAGAGGCGAAATACTTACACCGAATGAATGGAGTATTTTGATAGTTTATTTTAGTTTTAATCGAGTTCCAATTAGTTTCAACCAAACGCTGTAAAAAAAAAAGCAGCAACTGATTTAGGAAGGCAGCTACGTCGACATTCACAGCGTCTAAATTTACTCTACCATTATAACGGAATTGCTTAGTAGATCTATTCGAGGCACACACCGGAGTATGCGTTGAAGCGCAGAATGAAATGGTCGCTAATTCCTGGTAAGAGGGTTCTGGAAGGGGCGATGCTAGGGTTAGGGTAAAGTCCGATCATAGCCGACGCTACGATCCAATGGAGACACCAAACAGTGCCAATGGTGCATCGTGATCGGGTTTGCGGCCGGGATCAGCGAACAGTCGAGACACTGCACACGTGCACTCAAATCTGAATAACATTTAATCCCCTCCTCGGGCATAAACTCCGTCGAGCGAATACGCTATGGAATGTAGGTTCGTCAACATTTTCTTCAACCACGCCGACAGCGAATCACTGCGATTCACTAAGCGGCTTCGGCGAATGACGACGAAGTTGCAGAAAGTGGGTCGGGTCAAAAATATTCGAGCTTTCACAAAAAAAATATGCGTCGAAACAAAAGAATTAAGCATCATGCGCAGTCCTATCATAGTTACCTATCATAGCTATCTGATATTATGCAAGACGCGCGTGTTCAAGATAGTCACCGAGATCTTAAAGGGAAGCTGAAGAAGTTCTTGAAATAAAACGAGTAAGTGTGAAGTCTTGCGTATTTTTGTCCCGTGAATTGGAATGTCACGAGAATTCGATCCAGAGGTATCAGCAGACGCTGTAAAACACAAAAACAAACCACTGGGTGTGACGTCATACCCAGAGATTTCAACGGCCTCGAGCGTGCCGTTCATGAGAGAACGTGAGCAACGGTTTTGACTGCTCAGGTAAAGCTTGTGGACGGCGCGGGAATCTTCAGATCACCGCAAAACGTCACGATTCGCTTGTCGCACCGAACGTGCCGGGAAAGAGGGTGGTGGGGTGAGGGAGGTGAGGGTTGGGGGGGGGGGGGGGGTGGCAGTCTTTAGCGTTAGTTTCAAAGCCTTGTTGTGGCAAATGGCACATCACTTTGAAATATGGTTTTGATATTCGTGAAACTAAAGGCCTAATGAAGACGATTTAAGTCTCGCTTCTCGAATACAAAACAGCTTCAGTTTCCTTTTAAGGTGCAGCCACGCCCTTTATGTCGTTTTGCGTTTTAACGCGATTGTGTCGAGGAGCTCGTGTCGCAGAAAATCCGGCGTCGGCGTCGGCGGCGATGGTACCGGGAAATCCCGACTTGCATCTGGGGCGGGAAAACTTTCAGCTAAATTTGGCTGGAAAATTGTTTGATAAATTTAGCCGTATGGTCATGACGTGGCAGCCGCGAGTAACGTCATGCCTGTGACATGACGCCACATGACCTAGCGCGGGAATTTACTACAACCCGCAACGCTCAGTGTGACGTCACGTGACACGTGATGATATCGACTAGACCGCGCATACACGCTTGCACGCCTTGCGAACGAGCGCGCGTTTCTATGAAAAGGCTTTGCCAACGGGCCCCGATAACGCACTCGCGTTCCACTCTTAAAGGCAAAGCTTAAAGGTGCCCTGCAATCATAATTAAGCGTCTACCTTTTTTGCGGTTTCCACGTCTCTTGGGGTTCGGGCAAGCCAGCGGGCACGAAGAGAGTAACAAAATATCAGTGCGTCATATTTTAACCGGACGACGCGGAAACCTCCATCTACGGGGGCGACCCGCAGTGCCGAAAGCGCGCGATATGTGACATCTTTGGTCCTGGGCTTAGTACTGGTCAGTGCCGCTAGAAGCTTCTTTTTAGTTGAAATACCAAATATAAGTGGCGCGAACCGTTTCAATTATTTATAAAAGTAGTTTTTGTTCAGTATTTTAGATAGAAAAAAGAAACAAATGCAGTTTATAAAGTATGAAAACAAGAAATAACCCGTCGACATACCCGCCCCCAATCGGTGGAAAAGGCGGCCCATACTAGAAAGGTGTAATGGGATCAGGCACCGATACGCGGCGAACGTAGAAAAGGTCCCGGATGTACGCAACGGCGCTGCGGTCGTATGAACGGGAGGATCCGACCGGTTCCGAGCGTTCCGAAGGCCTTCGGCGTGCAGCTTTGGCTTGGGGTTTGGCCTTTTGGCGGTATGGCAGCGCGAAATGACTACCGTTCTGAACTGATCTTTACCCCGTGTTTTCTATCGTTTGTGGCCAATGAAGTGTCATGCCGAGTTAGTGTTTGATCGCACAGCAAATCTCATGCGAGCCGCCCTGGCTGCCCGCTTCATACAGCCTATCCAGAACATGCTGTAGTGGTGCCCTCTCGAGTCGACACGGAGTGCGGCAGCCTTGAGCGCTCGCTGAGCTAACTACCCCTTTTCTAGTTCACGGCCACTCAAGCGACCAAGGACGTCATAAAGGAGGTTATTTTTTGCTTGCATTTGTAATTTTAATTTGCCTATAACTTTTAAAATAAAGCGAAATCCGAGAAAAGAAAATGTTTAAGTTGCTACGTTCAGTGCACTCAGGTTCGGTGCAAATTAAAAACCAGTAATAAAATCCTTGCAAGGCCACTCTAAGCGACCCACAAGCTTTTGTTTGATGGTGTATAGCTTTATTTTTTATTTTTTTTGCAATCAGAAATGTAATGTACGATTAAAAATCATAAAGTTTGCAGAGTAAAGTTATTTTTGGTTGCTAAATTCCTATTAACCTTTCCATATACTGCAATAGGGAGTATTCACTGGACGCCATATTTGTGGGTTCTGTTTAGAGCGCATGCTCAGAACGAGCTCACATCAATAGGCTGCTAAGACCGGCAAACATGAGGGTGCGGAATGCACGTTGCAAAAGGACTGTGGAAGCTCGCAATCTGCACGCGCTCAGCATTCGCGCACACAGCTATGGCCGCCAGTGAGTACTCCCTATTGCAAGAGCTTTAATATTTCTGCTAGTCAAATGTAATTGTTTGTGGGCCCAAGCGAAATAATGCATTACCAATAAAACGTTTTTTTGTTATGTTCTTACATCCACATTATATTATGAGTGCGGTCTGTGGGATAGAATAAATAAGAATAATTTTTGATTTATGCATACCGTCTCAACAAACAAAAAAATTTAGAAAAAAATTTTTGATGGTGCAATCAAAACTTAATCACATCATGTGTACCCCGCGAGTACGCGTGTTCTATATTCAATGACAACTTCAGAAACACAGTGTTGCGGGTTTTGAGCATATTACTAACGCTTCGCAATAACGGCGTTATTCGGCTGCGCAAAACAAGCGCTACAGTCGACTTTAGACATTTTTATTTACCGAACAAGCATGCAAAAGTATCGGAACAAACACCCCGTGAATCTGGATTGCATGTTTCAACTCATTTTCTTTTTATTGACAAAGTACAAAACCGCTGCTACACTGTTAACACATCGTACAAAATACCGTCAGAAGTCATGTTGAAGGCATGCATGAAGCGAACATGCTTGGAAGTCACGCGAGTCGTTTCCGAAGGGACGTCTTCCATCATATTTGCAGCGAACGCTCAGTTTTTTGTAAGGTGTGTGAACAGTTTTCCTGCGGCTTAAAAAGTGACGTCAGGCGAGAATCCTTGCGTTCAGGGGGTCGCCCCGGCGATGCTCTCGATCCACTCCAGCTGCGTAGAGGTCCTGGCAAAAACATCCGGGGAATTGGGTGAATCGCAGCTTTCACTGAACGATGTGGCCCCGGCCAGTACGTAGAGACCGTCTGTTGTACACACATTGGAGGGGTCCTCCCGAGTCGCCCTGGGTTGTAACAAGTCAGAGGTATTCAAAGCAGGCCATGGCGTAAAATGAAGGGGTGTGTTTCACATACCATTTTTTTATAAAGTATGTCTGAAATTAATTACGAGGTCGTGGCCAAACTCCTTCAGGTTTTATTTGCGAGCCTTAGTGTTTGTAGGCATTACAGAGGGGAGACGAAAAATACAAATATAGCATACAAACATGTCTGCTACAAGAATTCCTCAAAACACGGGCAGGGAAATGATTAAGAAAATGATTGGTTATCGCAAACAAAAAGAAATCGGCTCATGAGATTAGGCACTAAAAGTACGAAATCCGGCTCCATCCAGATGACCCTTAATAACCCAACGCTCTGTGTTACCCTTGTGCGATTGCGACATTGCCCTGACCAAAACCGTTGACGCTGAGAGTGTCCGGCTGATGGCGGTTGCTTATGGTCTGTAGCTGGTTGAATGGATCGATGGATACGGCTGCATACTTTAAACGGCCGGTGGCTGGCGCCAACTAGTAGAAACTTCTAAATATCACAATAAGCTACATCCGATTAAATTCGGAATTCAGACCGAATTGTACAAAATGCTATATCGCTGCCAACCACAAGCACCCATTTTTTATTATCCACAACAGACGATGACAATCCCTGTGACGGTGATGCGACTTCACTCTACAAATAGACCGATCTCAGCTGCAAGCTCGGCTACGCCACCGCTGCCGCGATGCATCGAGGAAACTCCAGTCTTTCTTCACATGCGACAACCTCGCTGAAGCTTTACGCAGGCAGGGCATGGGGACGGTTCGAACTTCCCGTGAATTGCCTCCTGTCTCCTGCTGACTAAAGTTATTGCGGCGTCACGCATGAGCGAAACGTTGGTGAGATCGATCTATCGAAAGGAAAGCTGGATGGATGAATGGGTGGCAGTACACTATATGGAGAAAATGTGGCCATTTATTGAGAAAGGTAGGAGCCGAATGAGGAGATGCCATTTGCCGAAAGAGGGCTATGCGTGTTCCAGGGTCTCTTCACAAATTCAAACGTGTCATCCAGAAGCCGCGACTAATACCCTGGCGGTCCATAGAAACAGACTTATTAAGTGCGCCAAAAAAACTCTTCCGAGACTGAAAATATGGTGCAAGTGATGTTTCGATTCTGGTCATGCAAAACCACTGTGCAATATATATAAAGTTGTAGAATATATAAAAGCGTGCATGACTAGCAGAACGATCGACCTAATCCCTACGCAAGGCGCCGAGGCCTGGGAAATTGCCGTCCGAGTGGGCACACTCCGTCCGAGCAAAACAGAGTTCGAGAGGCACATTTGTTTGTTATATTTCTTTGCATGATCATAATCGAAACATTACATTCACCATATTTTCAACCATGAAGAGTTACTACACTTAACTCTTATGCACTTATTAAAACTGTTTATTGCTACCACTGCTACGGGATAATTTTCGGCTTCCGTGGTTGGCCAAGAGAGCATCTCAAGCCCTCTTTCTGCGTCTGGCGCACACCCTGGCTCTGCCCACTCCTCCAACTGACCAAACTATTTTTATATTGGGCCCTGATAGATGAATAAGGTTGAATGAACCCCATTAATAAGACGGCGTCTTCCCCCACCTAGCTAAAGCTTCTAAGTCAAATGACCGAGTTTCCGATTAAAGTCGTTATTAATGGAGAGGGGCAAAATATTCTCATATCGCTGCCAAGCACAAATATTTATCTACCATTCTCCACGAAACTTCATTCTTCCTTTGACTTATGCCAACGGTCCGATAACCTATGCTTGGTGATTACGCATTTCCGGCGTCTATATTTCTGACGCTCTCGATCTTTCAAGATTGAGAGCGCCACTGGCGAGCAAAATTGAATAGGTATGCTTCGAAGTTGGTGGATATAAATAAGTAAAACAAGACAACAACAAAAAATAAAAAGCAAAATGTTGTTAACATATTAATAAGACAAAAAATAAAAAGCGAGCTTCCTTTTTTTTTTTAGATGCTCTGTTACTGCGCTTAACAGATGTCTCCAGAGGCTTGTAAACTACCCTGGCTCGTGTATGATCGAACGCTGAGCGCCAATTTAAGCTCAATGCAAGCGCCGCATGGTGGCATCTTACCAAACGCTTGTAGCCCAATCCGCAACTCAATTAAAAATAGTTCAGCCGTACGCGTCCTTTCACCCGGTCGAACAAAGCTTGGCAACCATCCGACAGCTTACATAGCAGGTCGACTTCCTGCCTTCTTTGAAACCGGCACAGATCATGCAGTCCTCCATCACTGTGTAGTGTCCGTAAGCCTTTCTGCATTCTTCCAAAGACACAATATGCAAGTCCACTTTCTGAAGAATCTGAGGGAAGACACCTCTCTTACCTGCACAAACACACACACAAAAAACCAGTGGTTGCTCTGTTCCGTTAGAACAAGTTAGACAGCATCGAAAGTGGATCGCCCCAAAGCTCGTCCACTCTGAGCGTTCGATATCACCGGTTAGACAAACAATGCAGAGTAATAATGCGTTTATATTTTGACGTAACGTCGACGGGCGCAATGTAACGCGGCGTAGCGCAGCATTCACAGGTACTGATTGGTCGCAGATATCGAGTTTCTGCACGCCGGCCAATGAAACGCGCGCGTTCTGCGCTACGCTGCGTTTGCTCTACAGGATTGGCTCTCACTCCCCCCCCCCCCCCACTACTTTTTTCTTACAACGCCTACACATACACATACACAACAACGTTGTAGTATACTGTGAAACCTTTAACGTTCGCGAGCCCTTGAATTTCGCAAACTTTGCGAATTAAAAAATTCGCCAAATTTAAGGGCACACGAACATTTCGGGTGAGTTTCAACGCAGGCGTCTGGAACTCGCGAAACTTAGTGGCCGCGATTATGTCCTCTATGACCGATTCGCGAAAAATAGGGGGCCGCGAAGTTAAAGGGTTTTACAGTAAACGAGGATTCACTGCGCCATAATCATGGTTATTCAGCGCATTACTTGTTCAGCCAGTGAAAACAAAAGAAGTCCCATCGATTTTAAAAAGTGTTCAAGTAAAAGGCACTGACTAGGTTTCGTGAATCCCCATCCGCTTGCGGTGCATGTCTGATTCGCGAACCCCTGGTTCTTCGTGGGAAGGCAGATGGGCATCAGACCCTTGTCAGCACCACTGAAGTCCAGCGGTGTCTCCAGCTTCAGAAGGGCGTAGTCGTACATCACACCACCCGTCTTATATTTTGGATGGATCGTGATCTGCGTTTTCGAAAGTAAAACACACAATTCCGGAAGCCTGACATTGAAAAAAAGCAGTAGGTACAGTACTTAATTTTACTGGCCTCACGCAATAAGGTTTTCTACTTTATTTCCTGGCAACGTAAGAAAGTTGTGAAATGGCTCTTTACGTTGACGCGACTTGCTTCGGAATTGGTTCAAAGGCCTTATTACCGTTTATGCCACAATCTTATAAGGAGAGCAAGTCATCTGCTTCTTGCGCAGGAGTTGCGATGACGTCACAACGACGCCGAGTTCTGATTGGCTTTGATTGAAAGGATAGTGGGTAGACCTCGATGCTAGATGCCTTGAGGTCTACCCACTCTTTTGTTTCAATCAGCCACTAAGAGCTCGGCGTTCTGACATCATCGCAACCCGTGAGCAAGAAGCAGACGAACTTGCGCTCTGGATTGGCTGCAAAGCGCTAATAAGATGAGCGGGATTCGGCATATGTTGCACTTTTTTTTTTTAAGTTGGCGGTGACCAACATTTAAGCAAAACACCATAGTTGGTGCTTTGTACAGGCCACCGTCTGGCAATGCGTACGAATTAATGGCTTTTATTGAAACTACGCTGTGTTTTGTGGGATCTGTATCCGCCTCATTTATAATCATTGGGGACATAAATATTAATACCCTATCGGACGATCACCCGGCGAGAAAATTACGGGACGTCATTCACCAGTATTCATGTGGCAATATAATAACAGTACCAACCAGAGTCACTCCGGACACTGCAACATCCCTTGACATCTGCCTGACTAACGTAGATATAAATCATGTTACGGCCGGTGCTATCGTATACGATATTAGCCACCCACCCATACTATGTATAAGGTCTTCTACAAATTGGAAACAAAATCGTGGTATGGAAAAAGTTCTGGTACCGCATAATAAACAAAAATCGCTTAGTACTTTTGGCTGCCTAATAGAGCTGAAAAGTTAAGTCGACGTTTATAGAGAATGCAATCCTACAGTTGCCTATAAAAGCTTCTTGACGAAATTCAAACACTATTAAAATGCTGCTTTTCCTCTCCGGGAAAGTAAGCAAAGGCCTAGAAAGATTGAAAAGCCGTGGATAACTGGCAAACTGTATAAAAGAATACGAAACAAAAACTGCATGTATCATGCTTTTATAAAAAATTGTGATCCCCCTCTACGGAATAATAGCAAAAAGTGTAGAAACAAATTGAATTCCGACTTAAAAAAAGCAAAGTGTGAATATTATCAAAATAAATTTCTGCATATTCACAATGACCACAAGAAAGTGTGGGATACGATTGACTATCTAACGAGCAGGAAGCAAACACGCAACAGCGTGAAGGAAATCTTGATAAATAACAAAAGTGTTGTTGGTACAGAACTTGCTGACGAAATGAATCGTCATTTTACTTGCATAGACACGTGCCCAGGAAAAAAAAGCAAGCTCAAATAACAGCATTTTGGCAGGAAATCAAATTGGATCTATCAGGCTTTTTCCAATGACAATAACTGAGGTTGATAAGATAATAGGTAGTCTAAAAATGATGTTGCAGCTGGTGACGATGAAATAAAAGTGCCACCAATTAAGTACACCGCGAACATAATAGGTCCGATATTTTCCCATATAATAAATATGAAGCTTGAATGCGGTAATTTTCCTCATGAATTAAAAATCGCGAAAGTAACTCCTGTCTAAAAGGGTGATGGAGAGACCTCAATTAATAATTATAGGACCATTTCAGTACGCCCGGTTTTCTCCAAGATTTTCGAGCGTGTAATCAACAACAGGATGACAGTTTGTTTAAATATCATATAATAACTTCTGTTCATTATGGTTTCCAGAAGGAAAGGTCCGCAGAATCAACGCTCATCGACTTAATCGATAAATATGCGGAAAACATAACAAATTGGGCACACTAGGATTGTTTTTGAATTTAAAAAAGGCGTTCGACACGAGTACAACACGATATTTTACTTAAAAAACTTAATATATAGATGGTACACGATGAATAGGGCTAAAATTAATTAATAACTGTCTAAATGAACGCTACCAATATGTATGCTTAAATAATGAGTCACCTAGCAAAATGAAAATAAAACATGGCGTTTCCCAAGGCTCTATTCTAGGGCCGCTGCTATTCCTTGTCTATATAAACGATATAACGGAAATACCTGGCTCCCCTCAGTTAATAATGAACGCTGACGACACAAATGTATTTTTTGCTTGAAAGTCAAAACAGATCGTAGAAACATTAGCCAATGATTATCTTTTAAAGCTCTCAAATAGTTAGAAACAGATCGCTCAGGTCTAAATACCAGTAAAACAAAATATCTTATTTTCAAGCCGATAAACAAACGCGATCACAGTACAGTCGGGGACAAAAGTCTCCAGGACACGCGAGCTGCGACTGAAACGCATTGCTCTGCCATCTGCCGGTGGGTCGCCTGGTTTCGAGATCACAGAAAAGCGCATGCGCGTCCTACTGTGCCTGCCAACATGTGCGCTTTCCCGCTCTTCTGCGGCGCGGCGCCTAACTCGGAATCGGGCGCGGGGTACCGCCTCGGAGATAGCGCTTAGTGACATGGCACCTATAAAGCAAGAAGTCACGGCAACTCAACTGAGCGATAAACTCAACTGTTTAGAAAGCAAGGTGCGCTGACACAGCGAAATGCGGCGCAATGCCCCAGGCGGTATCTCGTGTTTCGGAATGTGTAGCAGACGCTCGTAAGCCGCCAGCGCTATCTCCGAGGCGGTACCACGCGCCCGATTCCGAGTTAGGCGCTGTGCCGCAGAAAAGCGGGAAAACACACATGTTTGCAGACAGAGTAGGACGCGCATGCGCTTTTGTGTGATCTCGAAACCAGGCGACCCGCCGGCAGATGGCAGAGCAATGCGTTTCAGCCGCAGCTCGCGTGTCCTGGAGACTTTTGTCCCCGACTGTACAATCAACATAACATTTGAAGGCACTTTGCTGGAGCAAGCTACAGAGCAAAAATGTTTGGGGGTGTGGTCCACTGAGGACCTCTCTTATTCAACTCTTGTTAATGTGCTCAAGGCTGAATTGTCCCGAGTTACTGGAAGCATATACAGAGTGCACAATTTACTACCGACCTGGCTTAAACAAACGTTACACTATTCCCTATTTTACTCGAAAACGAGCTATGGCATCTTGGTTTGGGGACCTAGGACAGAAACTAATTACATCAAACTAATTATTTTGCAAAAACAAATCTTGCGTATGTACGCAAATTATTGAGGAGACAGAAAACATTTAAGCACGCAGCCACTTTTTAATAAATATAATATGCTAAAAGCAGATCAAGTATTTTATTTCAAACTATTACAATTGATACACAGAAACAAGCTTCACACTACACCAACATACAATCTGAGCACGTACAATATTCAAGACCCAAAAAGGAAGATGCCGGCAATAATAACTAACTATGGCCGACAAAGTGTAGATTTCTAGATAAATAAAACTCTAAATAGAAAAGATATGTCTGTATATTTCTATCACCCTTTTAATAGCTTTAAATGTGCTTGTAGAAGGATGCTCGTGACAAGTGAAATTGCTTTTTCATCTTTGTTGGTGCCGTTATAAATGCGTGCACGTGGGCACTGCGCTCGGGCACAGTGCCCGCACTTTGTGCGGAAACTGCGCGTTTGCCCAGACCTCCTCAGGGCTGTTTGGAAACAGCGCGTTGGTCTATAGCAAGCATCCGTGATGTGGCGCACGTGACCCCAAAGCGCGATGACGTTTGCTTCTCTCTGTGGAATAAATCTCCGTCGTGTGAATATATCATTAAAGGGGTCGTGAAAGGATATAGGGTTGGAATGTTCACGAGCTTGCAGAGGCACGCCTCTTCTAGCCTGGCCCAAGTATGCACGCACGGACTGCCACTGATTCAGAACCTTCTTGGTCGCGGTGAAGTTGCGAGGATAAAAGCGAACCATTTCTTTCAGTCTTGCCTTTGGAAAGCTAGATTATGTAATTGTAGGATAAAAACCACCCGCCTGACCACAGTCGAGCGCGGCTCATGAATTGGACACAAAAGGTGCGAGAGCACTCGACTTTGGCTCGTAATAATCAATGCCTCGGCGGACACTCGGATAGTGGCTCGTGTTCAACCACTGCGGTGATGGGAATAGCCGAACTCTAACAATGCTTGAAATTCAGCAGGTGTTTTCTACTTGGCCAACACCAGTGCGTGAGTATGGTTAACTTTGGCGGCATAGGATAGGCACCAGGCCAAGTGGTCGCTTGTTTTGGCTACAAGGTGAGGCAATGAACGACGCTTATATTTCTTGAGTTTATATGCCGACTGCCATTGCTTAGAAACGAAAAAAAGAAGTTTATTTTGTTATTTACGTTAGGGAGTGATTTTGAGTAGTATTTAGCGAAAGTAGAAAAATCGTTTTATAAACCCTTTAATGGGGTTTAAAATCTCGATACTCATTGTATCGAGATTATCATAGAATAGGTCCGGAGACCTATTTTATGACGTTTGCCCTCGCGATACACAACATCCCGAAGATCAGCGGATTGTCCCCGGACACATTCCTGTGGTCTGCCGACAAGTTCGTGAGTTTTGCATGCAATTGTTTGCCTGGAACGTGGCGAATTTTGAACTCCAGAAAAGATACCTTCAATAATTTTGTAAGAACTTGTCCGGGAGGACACGTCCACCGCTTGAGTACACTTTTCGACACTATTTTCTAGTGGCGTCATCTCCTGATAGGAGATGGCACCAGAAGTAAATAGCGTCGCTTAGTCGGTCGTCTGCAAACGCGCCGGAAAAGTTTTTGTTAGAATTTTTTTTTAATAATGCGAACTACACCTTAAAGGTTTACACAGCATAACTAACTTGCTCACTGAACTTAAAGGGCCCATAAAACGAATTTTGGGCAGGAATAAATGAATTTAGATGGGTCTTTTACTAATGGCATATTGTTTGGTGTACCAAAAGAAAGAAGGTAAAAAACCAAAAGTATGATCTTTGGTACGAAAATTTGAAAACCGAGCGGACTATTTCGTACCTCTTTCCCTTCGAAAGCTTTCTGCCTTTTCGCTGTGATACATCAGCGGACCCCGCGGCGCGTCAAGGCCCATACGCACATTCGCGTTTGAGCGCGGTGCGTTCTGTAGCGGCAAGCGGACGCGTTGCGTTGCGAAGACCGCTTGCGCCAAGCTTGTACGCACAGTTGCGTTGACGCGCAGTCAACCGCAGTCAAAAGCCAATAAGAACGCGCTATCGTCGCTAGTGGCTCACCAATAGTAAGCGAAATCCAAGGCAACATGGCGGCGCACGGCGACAGCGTCGGTGTTCGATCTTGGGACAATCTCGCCGGCTTTCCCGACGTTTTGTCAAGCTTGAACCATCGCCAGCCTTGGAAAATACAGTCCCAACCGCTCCCCAAAACGAAAAAGCAAGCACTGCGACCGGCGAACCGGATACGTCTCGCCGAGTCGGCCGGGTGGGCCGAGCGAACACGTCATCCCCTCCTCACTTTCGGCTTCTGATTGGTCGAACGCACCCGAACGCACCGCAACGCTTCGGAAAGTTGAGCGCGTCTCTACTCGCTTGCGTCGCGCTACCGAGCGTTGCGGGAAGGCGCGCGTCGCTCTGCAAGCGACCGCGCCTGGCCGCAAGGACTCCGCAACGCACTCAAACGCGAATGTGCGTTTGGCCCTTCACCCGGCCCAAACGCACGTTACAGGACACCGGACCTCACTCATCCCCTTCACCCCTAAGATGACAGTGCGGTGGAAGCTACGCTCTTGGCGGACCAATCAGCCGCCTCCCTTTGATCACGTGACCTCATTCTCTGCGGGTGGGTATGCGCGAGAAAGCGTGATTACGTGGCGAAAGTGTGGCTGGCCCAAGGAGCACGTAGCTTACACAGCACCGTGAGCGACGGGCTAATCTTCTAGGAGGAGAATGCCAGTGTCCCGGGTACGCAAACGAGGGTGCGAGCAAAAAGAAAGTCCCTTATTTCCGTCTTCTTGAACTGTTTGGTACAAGGCGCGATTTGTAAGTTGAGGAGGAAAGCTAAAAAGGAAAAAGTTGAGGCCTCGTCACACATGCAGCGGAGCGCTATAAGCATAGCGCTGACCTCGCGCTAAGCACGTGCCGACGGGAGCGTTCACCAGCTTTGTATCGCACCGTCAAAACTGTTGCTCATGGCAGACGATAAGTAGCTGACGGCACGTGAGCAGCGCTACCTCAGCGCTTCGTTGCATGTGAGAACCGGCCTTTAAGCTGAAAGGTCAGGCTTTTTATGTGCACGCGCCGATTTTTCCGGCTTGTTTTATAGCGAAGGGTTCGCTTGACACAGTTTGGCCTTCGACACAGTCCAGGGAAACGGTTATTTTTACATGAGCAGTTTTGAGCCAGTGGTCTTCACATTTTGTTTGTACAATCTTTAAAATGCTCAGTTTTTATGGTGGCTGCCGCGGCCAGTCAGCTTCATCAGATGTGTAATTGTTGTAAGGATTTTGGATATCTACTTACGGATGAAACTGCAACTTTTCTTTCGAGGGGGTCAGTTTGGTTAAGGTTGTATTCTCCAACAATGACCAGACGGCTATTCGGAGCAACCCTATAATAAAAGAAAAACAACAACAACAAACAACAAGCAAACCAATGCGATGAAACAAAAGAAACCATTGGATCTTAAGCGCAATATTGAAGCGATAGGTGTCAGCTATCGAAAATGTAATAATTCTATATTCTGAAAACTTTCCTAAAGACGAAGCTGGGTGGTTTCATTTGAAATCGAACACGCTTGTCGGGGTGGGTCTTTTGATTTTTTTTAAAAATATATGTAATTGCTTCATTTCTGGAAAAAACAAAACCGCTTTTCGAAATAAAAAACAAAAATATTCCGCTTTACAAAACATTGAGTGGAGCAGGGTGAAATCTGTTTTTACTCCGTGATTTTTCTACCCAGTTCTGTACGCTGGTATGAATACGGGAAGCATACAAAAGTCACAGTAATTTTTTGTGTTTTTGTATGTTATTTTGACTATTTCCTAGTTCAAAGGAAAATACTTTTGTATTTCCGTTTATTGAGGTGAGAAATGTCAAACGTCGCCTCTTTGACAATCCGGTGACATCTCCAGAGCCTTGTAACTCATGTTATTATATTTGTCATTTATTAAATACTCTACATGAACTATCGGCGGGCATAAGTTTAGTTTATTTTATTTTCACTGAACTTTTTATATAAAATTTCAAATATCGTCGAAAATGAAATTAACTGATATTTTTAACACACTTTATCGAAAAAGAACATTTAATACTTCGTTCAATTTTTTTATTATTGCTGCCAATAATATGAACTTTCAATTGGCTTGATGCGATTTTCCTCTTTTTTGTTGTATCTTTTCTAGGAGTGATCGAAATCACTGCCACGTTCTCAGAACGGCCAAACGCAGTTTCCGCAGGTCCGCTTCGCTGCAACAACTGTACTACTTATTTGTGTATTCAAATGCAGCGGTTAAATTTATTTTTGATTGAGAACACTCGTGCTTGGCTATGATATTGTGGTTTCTTCATTTTTAATGATGACATCTGACATTCCTTGGTCTGATATTTAGCGGGGCAGCGGATGTTCCATTATCCGATGTCTAAAGCCAGGGCACAAAGGGCGGAGAAAACGGAACGAGCTCTTCATGTAGCCAGACCGGGGTCATATATCTATTTGTGCTATACACAGCTTGTAAGGCACGTACAGAGCGCCCGACCCTTCGCGCTATAGGCCCATCTCCGTTACAGCCAGGAAGCATCCGGCACGGGCGCCAATCCATGATGCGTCTTGTCGCTTGCGATCAAATAACCATGTAATCGCCTGTTCTTTATTGTCAGCGGGTATATAAAAAATATGTAATATCACATGCCCCTCTTTAAGAAGGAAAAGCAGTTTGCAGAAAGTAAGTGAGGAAAACGGACTGACTTTACATGAGGCGAAAACATTTTTTTTCAGAACACAAACACCAATTGGCGATAAGTAGTCACTTTTATTCATTAACGCTAATATATTTAGGATGCAGTTGTAAAACAATATGTTGTTGTGCTTTAAATAGTCCAGTTCACGAGCAACGGAATTTTGGAACTTTTTGACAACGGCATCGGCTTGCATGTGGAGATGATCAAGCGCGGGGGCGAGCTGAACTTTGTAGAGCAGCGGTCGGATGCAGCCGAGAGGTTCAACAGCATGGTAAGTCGAGACGGACAGAACGAAAACTGGAGCCCAAGCGAGCGAGCGGTGAACCCGAGAAGGCGGCCCTTCTGTTCGAACGAGTATGTGCAGTAAAAAATAGAAGTTTTGGGTTTTGTTCAACACTGATCGATATCTCTGGTGCCAAGAAGCAACGATTACCACAAGCACAGAAGGCAGCTAAAGCAGTCACTTAATGTCTCGGTAGACTTTTCGTTTCTCCACTTTGTCGCACCGAGCTTAAAGCAAAGATTGTACAGCCTTCGGGAATACGGAAAAGCGATTTGACGATCTTATTTTAGGTGGCTACGGTAGATTAGCTTTGGCTAGGCACACATTGCTTTGGTTTGGCAATAAATAAAGGTTTGTTCTATTTTCCCCTTCAAAATAAAGCGCGTCCTGCCAAGGCGGACTTGGCATCGCTGCATAAACAGCATCGACGAATGTGTCTTTCATATTGCCGGAGACTGTACATCTCGTGCTAATGTCACCTTAGGTTCCTGGCCCGGCTCGCGAACTGTGCACCACACATCCGAGGAGCGTAATCCTGTGCGAGCACCTACTGAGGCCCATTCTTTTTTTTTGCGCTTCCTGACTATATCGATTTTTTTCTCCGGTGAGTCGAAAAGCTGAACGCTTCTTGTCATTGTTTTAATTCTTTTTAACGAAGTCCTTTGACGTCCGCATCAAGGAGCCGTCCTGCGAACGAAAATTGTGTACTTTGGCAAGGTGCTTCAAGCCTCACAACCTGTGTATAAGAACAAACATATGTATGACCCCGGTCTGGCTACATGAAGAGCTCGTTCAGTTTTCTCCGCCCTTTGTGCCCTGGCTTTAGACGTCGGATAATGGAACATCCGCTGCACCGCTAACTATCACACAAAGGAATGCCAGTTGCCATCATTAAAAAATTAAGAAAATACAATATGCAGCCAAGCATGAGTGTTCTCAATCGAAATGAATTTGCTGCATTTGAACACACAAATAAGCAGTATAGTCTTTGCAGCAAAGCCGACCTGCGAAAACTGCGTTTGGCCGTTCTGAGAACGTGGGAGCAATTTCGATCACTTTTTGAGAAGATACAATAAGAAAAGGGGGAAATCGCATCAATCCAATTGAAAGCTCATATGATCGGCAGCACTAATAAAAAATTGAACGACATAATAAATGGCATTTTTTGATAAAGTGGGTTCGAAATATCAGTTAATTTCATTTTCGACGATATTTCAAATTTTATATAAAAAATTCAGTTAAAATAAAATAAACTAAACTTCTGCCCGTCGATATTCCATGTATAGGGCTACACACGCATGGTATTTGGTAAGCGACAAATGTAATAACTCATGAGTTACAAGGCTCTGTAGTTGTCACCGCATTTTCACGTGGGAGCGATTTCGATCACTTCTAGAGGAGATACAATAAAAAAGGGGGAAATCGCATCCAGCCAATTGAAAGTCCATATGATGGGCAGCAATAATAAAAAAAATTAACAAAATAAAAATGGCTTTTTTCAATGAAGTGGGTTCAAAATATCAGTTAATTTCATTTTCGACGATAGTTCAGATTTTATATAAACAAATCAGTCAAAATAAAATAAACTAAACTTATGCCCGTCGATAGCTCATGTATAGGGCTACACCCTCATAGTATTTAATAAGTGACAAATATAATAACTCATGAGTTACAAGGCTCTGAAGACGTCACCGGATTGTCAAAGAGACGATGTTTGACATTTTTTACCTCAATAAACAAAAATACCAAAGCATTTTCCTTTGAACTAAAAAATAGTCAAAATAACATACAAGAGCACAAAAAATTACTGTGAGTTTTGTATGCTTCCCATATTCATACCAGCGTACAGAACTGGGTAGAAAAATCACGGAGTAAAAAACAGATTTTCCCCCTGCTCTACTCAATAATGTTTTGTGAAGCGAAATATTTTTAAAAATAAATTTGAAAAACGGTTTTGTTCTTTCCAGAAATGGGGAAATTGCATATATTTAAAACAAAATCGAAAGACTCACCCCGAAAAGCGTGTTCGATTTCAAACGAAACCACCCAGCCTGTCAGTTAGCTCTCCTATATAAATGTATTGAAATTTTGTTCAAGGCGCGCCTATGTTATCATACGCGCGCCTACGTTATGATAACGCTGTCGAAGCTCACATCAAAGCTAAGACAACATGGACGTGAGCCGAAAAACGCCGTATCACGTGTTCCGAAAAATAAAAGGACGAAAAAAAGCGTCGCAACGCCAGATGGCCTGACGTCATCACGCAGAAATAAGACACACTTGGAAACAGCGCGAAAAAAGCAAGGGACAAGAACGAGAAGTAAACGAAGACAACGCTGTTGAGGTAGGATTCTACCCATTCAAAACTTGTAAAAAGGGCTATTTCTCTGTCATGTCTACGCTCCTCTTTGGTGAAATCTTGTCACCATAGCTGCGAGAAAAGTCTTTTGTCTCAGGCCAGCAGGTTGCATTCTGCTGGCTTCCCGTTGGCTGTGGTCGTGGGTGTTGCAGAATCACTTCTCAAAGTGTTTAGAGATCTTTTGAGTTTGAGGGGAAGGAGGAGGATGGCTTTCCAGGCCGGTTGTTCTGCCGTATGTAAAAACACATTTTCATATAGGATCAAGCAGGTGGCTGAGAAGTTTGACGTGCCTGTTGTGTTCTCAGCTCCTTCAAAGTTGTCCCGTCTGCGCTGCAGTAATCGTGTTGGGGCATGTGGGCCTCGGTGTGTGGTTAGCCACCGAATCCGGTATGTTACTTGCGCGACGGGTGTAGTGTATCTGATCCCTTTGTCGTGTGGCAGTCTGTACATAGGTCAGACGGGGAGGTATGTCAATGTAAGCGCCAGGGAGCACTCCCTTCCCCTTCGGTCTTCACCGTCGGGACACCTTGCAGTTCACTGCGATAGGTGTTCGTGTTCTCCGCTTTTCACGGAGATAAAGATTCTGGCTCGTCACCCCAACAAAGTGACTAGAGAAATTGATGAGGCGTTTTTTTATTTATACCTACGGAGCGGACACGTGTGTTAGTGCCCCGTCCGTGGCTTTGGCGGATGACGAAGTGTCTTTCATTAAGAAATTCGGCAGATTTGTTTAATTAAATGCTCGGGTGTGCCTCAAGGGGTGGATTATGTTTTATCTATCTTGCATCTTTTATGTTTTCCTTTCTGTTCCTCACAGGAATAAACTTCAGTTGCCAGTAAACCAGCGTTGTGTTCGTTCACTTCTCGTTCTTGTCCCTTGTTTTTTCGCGCTGTTTCGAAGTTTGCATTATGAACCAACTAGCCCAACTCCACGCCTTGTTGCAGAGATAAGAGACGCGTACCCTAACGGTGGTGGTATGAATCTCAAACGTTCGATTGCCTTGCGGCGTTGAATGTAGCCCATTTCGGATGTTGAGAGGTGTTTTTCGTTCTTCAACACTACAAAAAAAAAGTTCAACAGAGGAGCTACAAGTAGTGCAAGGCCCAATCAGGTGAGCGTGCACTACCCAAAATGAGGGCACCGCATTTTGTTCGAAGCTTCAGTTTAGGAGGTCTAGTGCACAACGCTTCTTGTTGTAAAACAGTACGCGGAAGTGTGCGAGGGTAACTTACCTATCAACGCAGTGCGCTGCGGTGAGAACGTATTGCTTGTTGATAATGGAACCTCCACAGCCGTGGCCCAAGTTGTTGCCGGAAGGAACTATGTACTGCAGCGAAATCTGCCAGGGGAACTCCTGTGGTTCAGCGTCTTCGCCGCCAATGATCTGAAAGCTCGGACCCGTGATCTTGGCACCGGTTACGCTGCTCTGACCTCGAACACCGCAGGCTTTGTGTGGCGTCACTGAGAAGGAAATTTGTTGTTTTGTGTGGGATGCACTAACTCGATGGTTTTTTCCTTATTTCTATTTGCCCTCCAACCTCCCCCCCCCCCCCCCGCACCTTTTTTGTATCTCCTCGTGAAAAAGACAGAGAGGGGAGAACAGGGCTTTGCGGCGGGGTGTCTGTCGCCGACAACTAAAGAAATGCAGGGCGTGCTGAGAGCGTCTTCATATTGCTCCGCAGCTAATGATTTTGGGCTGAGCTGAAGGGCGAAAAAAAGAGCAAGAAGCGTGAACAAGTAACGTTTCTTACGCTCTCAGAGCCTATATTAATGCGTAAGCATTAGAACTCTCGTTTTAACGAGAACATGGTGGTGGTGTTCGTTTTTTAGAGCCGAAAAAGGAGGGCGAGAGGGTGACGCGTGCGACGCTCTCATTGGTCCGAAGTGCTGTCGTCAGCACGCGTCGACCTCTACCAGTCTCCCCGACTCTGACAAACTGATAGACACCGCCGGGGTTTCGTCAACACAAGCTCTTTCGTTTTCGTCAAAGTCACGCGCAGAGCTGGCGCGAAGCCATTGAGGAGGAGGCGCCGCGCAACACCTCCTAGATAACAAAGCCGTAGCGCTGAATCAGATGGCGTTATCAGAGAAGACCAACGCTGGGCTCAGATTGGAAACGAGTGCTGCGTCAGCGCTGGGCTTTGAGCCAAGTTTGAGCTGAACGTTGACGCAATCATCGTGTCCAACCTGTGGTTATTGTTGGCATTCTGTGATGACACTATCTCATTCAGCACTACGGCTTTGTTAGGAGGTATTGCGCCGCGGCGCAGTGAAATTTGGGCGTGCTCAGTTACCGCTTTTCCGTCGCAAGTTGTTCTTCGTTCTGGGTTTCCATAGTAGCGGTGCGTGGGATGTCATGTGTGTGTGTGTGTAGTTAAAACAATGAATGCGGTTCCCCCTAGGAGTTATATGAATGTAGTTCCCTCTACGAGTGCTATCGATGTGGTTCTTTCCACGAATGATAAGGATGGCATTTTCCAAGGGCGTCAGCGTAGCCTGACAACAGAGGGGTGAAAAAAATTACAGGAAGATTCATTATTTGATTGTTATGGAATCTGTTAGCATGACCCTTTGGAAACGCCACAGACGTCCCCTTTAGAAACACTCTAACACTGACCACGCAACAAAGCCAATAAGAGGCAGAGAAAAATAGAGGAAGCAAAAGAGAAAGCTAAAAGAGAAAAGTTAAGGGTTGAGCGTTGGCGTCTCCCAAAGGGGGACGTGTGCGTTGCGTTTCCAATGGTCGTGTCAACGCATCCAATAAAAATGCACTAATGATTCTTCCTGTAATTGTATTGTTACTAGCTTCCAATGTAGGTGTGTCTACTTTCCCGCAGAACACCCAGTGAAACATCACGCTAATTGGGCGGAGTGATTCGCACACAAAGTGTTGTCACAACCACGCCGCAAGCGCGCGGCGTGGGTTAAGTAATTGGTTGGTTTTGTTGGGACTCTAACGGTTGCTTGGTCACTCAGCGGGCAGTTTAAAGATTTCTAAGTAGTTTTTGTTGTAATTGTTATAAATTGTTATAGTTAAAATAAAAAAGTCTTGGGACATAATCCGGTATAACTAACGTCCATCTTTTCCTTTATAACAGCCGCTCGGCTTATTAAGCCCTTGTGACTGTGCGCACTAGGGCAGTGAAAAGTATACGGAAATTTAAGCCTCGTGCAATATATGCTGTAGAAAAAGTCTTCTAAAAAAATGAAAGCTGTTTACAACTCCCTCTAATGCCTAATTAGAGCGCAGCTCTTGAGGAGGAGGAGGAGGGAAGGGTACTGAGGGTCACGTGTTCTTGGGGGGGGGGGGGGAGGGGTCACGTGACCTGGGGAGCGGTCCCGTGAACCCCAAGGTCATGTGACCGGTCACGTGACCCGCCCTCCCGAGTCCATGTGACGCCTCCCCCAGGTCACGTGACCCCGAGGTCATGTGGGAGGGGTCACGTGACCTTGGGGGTCACGTGGCTTCGGGAGGGCGGGTCACGTGACCGGTCACGTGACCTTGGGGGTCACGTGACCCCATCCCCAGGTCACGTGACCCCCCGAGGTGCCGTGACCCCCCAGGTCACGTGACCCCCCTCCCCGAGGTCATTATGGGTACCCGAAGTCCTCCCGAGGTCCTCTCGCAGAAACCCGAAGTTCTCCCGAGGTCCTCGCTAAGAAACCCGAGGTCCTTCCGAGGTCCTCCCGAAGGAACCCGAGGTTCTCCCGAGGTCCTCCCGAAGAAACCCGAGGTCCTCCCGAAGTCCTCCCGAAGGAACCCGAGGTCCTCCCGAAGGAACCCGAGGTCCTCGCGGAGGAACCCCAGATTCCCCCGAGGTCCTCCCGAAGGAACCCGAGGTCCTCCCGAGGTCCTCCCGAAGGAACCCGAGGTCCTCCCGAAGGAAACCGAGGTTCTCCCGAGGTCCTCCCGAAGGAACCCGAGGTCCTTCGGGAGGACCTCGGGTTCTTTCGGGAAAATTACCCATAATGCACCGCGCCGTTACACCGACGCCGACGGAGACGCGACGCCGACGCCGCTCAAGCCCGAAACGGGCGCCTAAGAGCTGCGCTCTAAAAAAAGTTGCAAAGCTTTATTAGCGGAATGTATACCGAAGCAAATGGTCCGTGGCATACTTGATTCATGATGGAACTTAACCCGAGACTGGGGTAGGAACAGAAACTTAAAAGTAGAAGGGACTCTTTAACCGTTTTTTCATACTTGATTCGCTAATTTGTTTTCGTTCATGTCGAAATTATCAAAACGGTTACAGTGATTGATGCCGAAACACCAGATTAAACTATAAAAGTAAACGAAAAGATTAAAAAAAAAAGAAACACAATCTGCCTCGATTATTACATCCGTATAACGTCCCCGCCAGTCGCACTCACGTATATTTGTATTGCTCTGGTAGGTCGTTACATCTAAAACTCATATGAATGAAAAGTGAAGGCTTTCACGATTGCAATAATACAATGCTAAGACAAAACATAATTAAGGTGCCGACTTGGAGTTTCTGCTTACCGGGGGTTGACGCCAAGATACAAGATGTACCGGCCAACATAAAAGTCACAAACGTAAGGGCGACCACCATTTTTAAGTTTGAAAACGGACCTTAGTGTAAGGTTCAAATGCAAAACAGACGGTATTCGAGTTACGTTCAAGGCTTTAAATGGGCGACTGATTAACTCCGAGGATAGGTTTAAAGGGCTCGCAACGTGTGCTCCAGTTGCGATTACATCGCTCCTTTATATATGCGTGTGCCAAAAAAGACACATGCTTCATTCGTTCAACACGAGGCGTCAACACCATCACGGGACCGTGACGTCAGGTTGCTGCGGTGGCGCTGCTGTCGACACGGCGCGCGACGTTTCACTTGACGCGAATTGGGTTTTTGAGCATGCGCAGTGGACGGACCTGATGTAACGCAGACCTGCTCGTAGATAGTGCGTCGGCCTGTATGGTGCACGGCGTTCGACGATGAGCCTACACAGCCGAGCAGCTGCGCAAAATAAACTGGGGTGTTCCTAAAATAAGTACAATATAGAGAATTTGTTGTTAGCTTGTGTACGAGTGACGGGTGACCTTGTGAGCCTGTATCCCCTTTCGACCGCAGCCGGCGCTGCCATCCGAGAGCGCCAGTCGTGCAGAGCCAAAAGTGCGTCGTCGCGACGCCCGTTGTTTTTGTGGGTGTCACTACCGGCCTTAAGCAATCACGCTCAGCAGAAGGAAAAATGCAGGATCGCGTCTTATGTATTACAGTGTGCGCTATCAGCCGATAGTCGGTGAGAGCACATGCACTTTAAACGTTGCTTCTTTGGCTCCATCAGTCTGTAGTCTTGGCTGCGGTAGGACTTGATGGCGAGTTTTAGGGAACCGGTTTTTACACATCCGATACCGGACGATGGGCGATACGAACTGCGAATGAGGGCCCATCGTAGCGTATCGGATGTGCAAATGCGGTTTTCTAAATATCTGTATTGTGAAACGAAATATTCCGAGGCTTCGGCGCCTCCTTTGCCGCCGAGTGCTTCAAGAGGCCCGCTATTCGCGAGGCGGGTCTGGCGAGCGACGACGAAGCCAGCGGAGCGTCGACCACGGACAGATTCCATTTGCAAGCTACGAGTCATTTTGGGTCTCGTCGTTGGCCCAATTTGCGTCGTCATTGCTTCATTGTCGCGTTTGTCTCACCTCGAATGTTGGTGCTTTATTTCAGCCTTTTGTTGAGACACGGAAAACCGTATCCAAATAAAAATTAAAGAACGCGAGAAATGAAGACGACCCACAATTTCGTTTTAATGCCAAGGCGCAAGAATTGCGGCTCTAATTTGACGATTACGAGTTTAGTCATTTGCTCCGGCACTTTAATGTCACCGCTTGTAATGTGAAATGTTCGTACTAATTATATCTACTTTGGGCGTCTCTCTGAAGTATTCCTCACGCTTACGGCATGGCTCAAGCGGTGTATTCGAATTTTTAGTCACGATAAAATGAACGTATAAGTCGTACGAGAGCGTGCCGGAAACGAAGCGAATTATCGTAGATGTCTATCTAACCAGGAGAGGTTGGGAAATATTATTTGAGCAAGAAAATATAGTTACAGCGCTAGGGTGGCCTGTATATTTCAGCCAAAATCCAATCGGTTAGACCAACATAAAATTAGAAATATCATACTGTTAAAAAAAGCGAGGAGTCGCGTGCACTTTCTGCATGGCGTGGTAAAAAAGCATAATTTCGTTCAAGGAACAACTATATGAGATTTGTATGATTTTAAATCAAATTTATTCGATTTAAATCAATAATTGAACTTAAATCACAGTATTTAAAATACAGTTCCTCTTTATCATCAAGTATTATTAAAAATGACAGATTGATTGATATATTCGTCCGATCACTGAAAACAATGCGGAAGTAATTGGTACTGTAAGTTTAATGTAAAGTTTAATCGGACACATTTTTATTGATGTAACCCCTACCACACTAAAAAAAAATTTTTTTATTAGCTGAAATTTTTATTTGCTTTTTTTTCGCGATTTGATTTCTTTTCAAAAATGCATTACTTTTCTGATATTTTTTTATTTATTTCCCAATTTGACCTGCTCGAAATAGAGCGTTACGTAAGTGACAGACAAAGTTGAAGGTAGAAAGAAAGCTTAATGCTCTCATTTGCTAACAAAAATGTATCGCTAATTTCCCTGCAATTGTGTTGCCTGGTGAAGCGTTCTTTGTTTAACGCCACTAACTGTCTTCTGGAGCTCTGCCTCCAGGACGCTCCACTCTTCTCCACTCCATTGACTTTACTTTGACTCTCTACCTTCTTTACTCCATTCCTCCACCATATCGACTCCATATAGCGGGAACTTTTCCGCTAAAGTTAGCGGGGAAGTTCGCGGTGACGTTTGTTTAGGCTTCAATTATTCTGAAAACCTGTCCTAAAAACCTGTCTCGTTAAAAGCTCAATTTCAGCCCTATGTAAATCTTTCTTGCTCGATGATTGTTCGATTTCTTTAGAAAACAATTGCACACAGTAGGCCTCAAGAGGTGGACAAATGGAAATTATTTTTGGGAATATTTTTACGGAATAGGTACGATTTTAATAATCATAGCTAAACCGGTTTGATATTTTGCCAGAATTTAAATAGCGAGTTAAATAATTTTGATTTTTCTTTACCACCCCGCTGCATTTAGTTTAGCTTTGGGTGTCTAGTTATCGAAGTTATTCTTCGAAGCTTGTTGCCAATGAAAAACGCTTTAGATCTAGAGCTTGCACACTACGGCCACTGACAGCTAATGAAACGCAGGGTTCACAGTTTTTGATTCCTAACTGGTCAATCTGCGTTCTCGGTGGCTTATGCCACCATCTCATTGGCTGCCGAGCAGTAAGGAGATGATCGGCTCTCACCCCGTTCTGCATTCCTTAAAGGTGCACTAAACACGTTTCTGAAATCGCCTGTTCTTGGTTATAACTTGTCTTTCGGGCTCCAAAGATTCTAGAAATTAAAAAAGAATTAAGCTCATGCGACGTCCATTTCCTTATCAAAAATGTGATGGAAATTTGTGCCACACCCCTTTCTGAGCGCAAAAATCTGAAGTACAGAATTCAGCGCAGGCACGCGCACCGGCGACGCCCCCGCTGCCGGCGCTTCCACTTGCAATTGGCTGACCCGAGCCCGGATTCACGCCGCCAGCGCCTTCGCTGGATCCTGCGTTCCGGATTTTTCGCTCAGAAAGGGGCGTGGCGCAAATTTCGATCACATTTCTAGTACGAAAATAGACGTCGCACGAGCATATTTTTTTTTTTTTATTTCTGGGATCCTAAGATTTTGTAAAATGAGTTTTCATTAAGAAGAGACGGTCTCAAACACTTCTTTGGTACACATTTAAGCTCTCAGCAGCAATAGCTAAAAAATAAAAATGAAAAAAAGGAGAAGCTTTTTTAACCTTAAATTGCAGCCAAAAAGAAAAAAAAAAGCGGCCATGTCATCACTGATTATGTGCAGCCAATGCCCATCATGGCCAAGTCCTGTAATTTGGGAAGTTGCACTTATTGCCTGCATCGATTCAATCGAAGGATCAAGGACGGAAAATAGCCCAATTGTCGAATCTGATGAAAAAAAAAACAACAAAAAAACGTGACCTATACATAGACGTCACGTGAACTATACGTATTCAAAATAAAAAAAAAATAAACCCTTGAAGTACGCATTTACACTCCTTGTGCAACCAGACGATACAGTTATTCGCAAGCTATAGCCCTATTTTCAAACAACTCCGTGTGACCTAGTTAACTGCGTGCGTCATCTGTACAGGGGAAAAGAGTTCTACGCAAACTAGCCTCAGTTTTCAAGTAAACAACATCAGGTGCCCCGGTTTACTGCGTGAATCATTTGTGTAGAGGAGAAACGAGTTCTTCGCAAGCTAGCCTTACTTTTCAAGTAAACAACAACAGTTACCCCAGTTTACTGCGTTAGTCATCTGTGTACAGAAGAAACGACTTCTACGCAAGCTAGCCTTTGTTTTCAAGTAAACAGCTCCATGTGCCCCCTTATAGCGAAAATTAGTACGTTTGATATTTGTTTAAATGTTTTTAATGCTCTTCAAATGTATTTTATAACTTACAATACACTAAAAGTACGCTAAACATACGTTCTCCAGTTCGTCCCTTGCTATTAAAAGGTATCTCTAAATATACGGAAAAAATATCTGTATTAGAAACATTACATAACGTACGTCATGTGATGTTTCTAATACACATATTTTCCTCAAATACATTCAAGTGCATAACTATTTTCATAAAATATTTTAAATCCATTTTGAATAAATGCCTATTAATATGAATTAGATTCGTTCAGTATCAAATAAATTGTTTCTCAGGCGCCTAAAACGACAAATAATACACGAGGTAGGCTTCGACAAAACATGACTTCTAAAATCAGGGCAGATTTTGAGCAGGAAGTTCTTATTTATATACCCATTTTGGTTTCAATCCACAAATCTCAAGAAAAAAATCCCACACTTTTCTTTGACGGTTGGCAACATTGTAGTAGAAGGCCAACTGGTTTCTGGTGTCTATAATCGACTCCGTGAGTATCTACGTTTTTAGCCGGAAAAAGTATGAATCCTCGCTAAAAACTTCCTGGAGGGCTCCATTACTTTTCAAGAGAAAGACGATACGTTTTTCGATAGTTCGTGTAACTTTTGAAGCTCCGAGGTGCAGATTTCTATGTGAAGTGACTGACAATTCAACATGGCTGCCATCTGCCCGCCACTGGCGGCCAGCTGTAGCCGAGACTTTCAGCAGAAAAAGAGCCTACCCATCGCCGAAAAGTTCCTGGAAGTCCTCCTGGATGTATGAGTAAGGCGCATGGTACGTTTGTGGCCGTTTGCGTGCATTTTCAAGCGCCGAGGAGGCAATTCCCCTCATGATGCGGCTGTGAAATCAACATGGCGCCCATCTTCCCGCCCGCATGGCTGACTATAGCGGCACCTCTCGTGGAACTTTGCGGTGCCCTCGAAGGTCAGCAGGTGTGCCGGACGCTTTCGCTGGTCTACAGGCCTTCGCGGGATGACAGGATGGCGACCAGTCCATTACAA